GAAATTCGGCAAACAGAAAATAAGTTGTTATATTTTTTTGTTGGTAAGGACGGTACCCATTTTTGATTCCCATTACTATATATTTTTTTATCATTGAAATCCACCTGCTCATTTGTCTATAAAACAGGCATTGGGTGCTGTAAATGTCACATATTTCAGTGAATATTTCTTTGGGATTTTTAACAAGTTTTACAGAAAGCTTTAATGAAGCTTTTATTTTCACTCTGGTTTTCTGATTCTTTACCATTCATTTATAATGCAGTGTCTCGAATAGCCCTTGTTTTCCAGCTTCTCACAATGAAACTATATGATGAAAAGTGGTAACATAAACTGTTATAAATTCATTAAAGATTTAATGATGAGAGAAAGTCAAGCTTAATGTTATATGGTATCTGTATTGTATGTCATACACCTCAGGACATTATTTATTGAACAGCCCTCGTAATTAACATGGTTACACTGTGGGCTCGATCACTGGAAAGATTTCCAACACTATCGACATTGTCATTACATCCACATGGAACGGCTGTCCCTAGTTTTTTTTAATTCACAATTCTCCTCGTATACTGTAATCTACGGAAGGTGTACTCAGTGAATGAATGACAATGAGTAAGGGAAGACTTGCAGGTTCTTGAAAGATACCGATTGAAAAAAAAAATGACGTTACGACTTAAAAATATTTTTTAAGACATTCTTGAAAAACTTGAACAATTTTATAATTGTATATAAAACTATTTTTTATCTTCTTCTAATAATGGAGAATTTAAACAAACAAGTTTTGGGTGCTTGGTGCTCGATTTCCAAAAAACTTATGTTTTATTGACAGTCTCTCTCATTAATACACGGATCGTTGTTGCCCAAAATTCAATAAACAATTTTTCTCAATTATCAATACAAATTATCAAAATGTTCTTTTCTTTTACATTGATTCAGTGTCGAAGTTCTAACAATCAAGACGGAATTCTACAGGCAATAATTGCCAACCCTGACTATCCTAAATCATTATCATTGATAATATTTTCAATTTTTTTGTCATTTACTACAACCCAGAGGAGTTGATATCAAAGGCAGATTTCACAATTGAAGTGGTGAAAACGGTAACTACTCTTGTTAGTTTGTGCTGGGATGAAACAATCAAAAAGGAGAAAGAAAAAAATGTTAAACATATCAAACGGGTATAACCTGCCATTGCAAACCCTGTATATTTTTTCAAGGGGTTTCAATTTCAATTTAAAACTGAAATATTTAATGTCTAAATGAAGTATTTTCGAAAGTATACAGCTAGGTGTTACATTAAAAACAAAAGTAAATGTACTAAAAATGAAAAAATATTTTTATGTTAAAGAACTGTTGATATATGCTCGTCAAAAACTGGACAACTTTTAAGACGACACGGGCTGCTTTCAGATAAGTTGATGTTACAGGGATTTCAACAGGCTTGTTTATAAACAGAAAATCGGCATAAATTCTATGGTCGTTACAAGGACCTTGTTAGCAAATATGACCTATCATTAGGTCGTATTTTGGCTTACGTTTTTCCGATCTGATAAAAATCAGATCTAATTCGCTACGCTCCGAAATTCTAATGGTCACTGTACAAAGATCTGAACACATCACAATGAGGATTATGTCGGAATGAACCTCATATAAATTAAAGTACACGACCTTATATAAATAAAAGGAATCCTTCCCCTTTTTTACAATACATAGAATGAAATGAACTTCTCTTGAGACAAGATCTCATTAAAAAGTCAAGGATAAGACGGTAAAGTCGATAAAGGAGTTTGAGAGAATCAAACAAAATGCGCAAGTACCGTAAAAAAGCCTTTGTATTTCTTATGATTAACTCCTATATTAATATGTTTTTACTCGCAGTATCTTTTTCCTTTTTTTTTTCTTTTCATATAAAAGATATAAAATGTAGAATTTGAATGCAACGTGTACGAGAAGTAATCAATATGATTTGCTGAAGTGACAGGTGAATACAACAGAGGTTCATGATGAAAAACATGGTTTACCCATTGTTTGAAACAATGCAATTAAATGTTTTATAAGAAATAATGCAAATAATGTCATGCAATTTGTCACAAACCCATTGTGCATAAACATTAAAATCAAATTCAAATTATTAGAAAATCCAATGCATTAAAATCGTAAAATATATTTATATATGGAGATTTCAGATCTCGTGAGGGGTCTGTTTGCATAATGTAAAATAATACATTACTGATGACGCCGTTTCACATTGATTTTCGCTCATCCGTTGGTGACATATAATGAGTCTATATAGAACTACCTTCTACACCCAAAGGCGTCTGGCGTGAATAATATAACTAAAACCACCTATGAGAATTCTGTCATGCTGCGTTCCACGTTACATTTACTTATCTGGATGACTGTTGGAAATTCTACGCCCGAAAAAGGTAAGATACTTTAATTTTGAATTTTGTACATGTTGTAATGAAAATTATTTTTGCAGCAAATGGATATACTAGTATCTAGAAATGCACTTTTTTGCTTCAAGTAACGTATCTCCTACATTTATTTAGTCATGTATATCTCGTGACTGTTAGCTGAACAGTGAAGAATCATCTTTGTATTTCAAACATATAATTAAATTAGAATTGAACGAGTATTTTTGGAAGCAAGTGTAAGGAACAAAAATATCTAAACCAAATAAAACAAATTCACCCCATCTCCCCCGCAAAAAAGGAAAATCCGACGAATCCGATATGAATATAATATTATATATCGAAATCAGTAAACATAAACGCCTTGATTATCCAAATTTAAGAGCAAACCATTATATTTTACTGATTGAAATTTGCTTCGTTTAAATTATTTTTTTGGAGGAAAAAGTAAAATCTTCAAATTTTATTATTTATAAAATGCACACATTGTCTGTTTGGAGTTCACCTCGCGTGACTTATTTGTTGTAATTCTATCGTTTGTGATTCAGAAGCTGGGTATACAAAAGAAATATTTTTTTGTCATGTAAATTATTACCAAATTCGTATATCAAATATTTTGTGCTTATCTACAACATCATCTGTCTAGTTTAAAAGATTAAAACTCTACAATAGTTTCTCAATGACAATACCTATAAAACTTTCGTACATCCCTGGGGGTACTTAAGTCTAAGGCCATACTTCCGGACCACTAAAACATCAGAGGTGGGATAGAGTGCCATGGGGAGTGAGCATACCCTGCTGACCGGTCACACCCGCCATGTGATCCTTGTCATGATCGGGAAATAACGGAAAAATCGGACGTCAATTCAGTGTATAAAAAATGGACTAACAACTAGAAACGATCTCGTTGCGAGCAACGAGTAGGTCTTCCGTCCGATTCCGAAAAATAACCCATAAAATCGAGCTGAAAATGGATTAAACATATTTTGGACACACTGGTAATTGAAACGGGTCACTAGCGTGAAAATCCAATACTCTTATCGATTACGCTATTTGAACAACTACTCTTCCTTCACTTGTATGTACATATAATTCTGCAACAGTTAATCTGTCTTGGAACTATGAAAGAAGGGTCACTATTCATAATTTCGCGCCAAACGCAACGAGTAAATCTTAGCAAATTTCTCTTGGAATGTTCATGGTCCTTCGGATGAGACGGTATAGACCGAGGCCCCGTGTCACAGCAGGTGTGGCAGGATAAAGATCCCTCCCTGCTCAATGGCCCTGAGTGCCGAGCATAGGCCCAAATTTGCAGCCCTTCACCGGCAATGGTGCCGTCTCCATATCAGTGAAAGATTCTGGAGAGGTACGTTAAACAGTATACAATCAATCAATCAATCGTATATAGGCAAATAACACTAAAGCAGTGAAACAACTATGAATGGTTAATTTTTCAATTTTCAATCACGAAAGTTGACTATTCCGATTACTTACACTTTCATGAAAAAGGTGGTATGTTTCACCGAAAAAAAATGCCTCGATCGCCCTACGAGGGTCAAAAAAATAAGATTCCATTATGTTCAATAACTTGCATTAAGAAAATAAAATGTTTATATAGGTGAATTAAACGGTCTTTGAAAAATTGTTATCTTTAAAAATAAAATATTTTCTTATTGTAACAGTTGTCCTTTCTATTGATTTAATATGACACAAGTGTGCATTAGAAAACAGTGGTCACGTTTTTTACTTACTACATTCTTGAAAAACTATTAATTATAACTATGATTTAAGCTATGTGTTACCGTGATGCAAAACAGAAGATATAGATATTGTACTTCATTTGCACATTAATTCTTTTCTATTTCTACTTTAAGAAACAACCAAAACCAATTAAAGAAGACTTGTAAGTAGACCTTGGATAAGAAATGTAGTTTGACAGCGAATTGCAACGAACCTACGACGTGACAATCCAAGTATCCCTACACATTTCATTGTTCCTTATGTTACTTTCGTTCAAGCAAACGCTCGGCTGCCTCTGTAAACCCCTATTGCGAAATGTCGGAATTGACAGAGACCGCCGCCATTAAGATCACGCTTCAGACTTTTGAATGTTAATATCTCGAGTTCGAATTCATCAATTTACAAACAAATTATATATTCAGCCTAATGAGAAATGTATATATCAACCATACAAATATAATTTGAAAATATTGAAAAACAAAAAAGTTTAAAAATTTGACTTTTTTTCTTTGCATGCCGTTACGACAGGAAGTAGAGACGACGTACAAAAGATCGCGTCTTGGATAGTACTTATCACGATCTATAATCCCTGAAAGTTTCACAGTGATATCTTTTACCGTTCTTTAGATTATCCGCGAACAAAATGTCAATTTAAAATCAGAAAATTGTCCGTAACTTGGCACCAGAAAGGAATTTCCAAAAAATCTCTAGGATATAATAACTGCAGATAGGAACACATTGTTCCTGCAAATTTCATAAAAATCTCCAGTTGTCTTCGAGAAATCACGTGCACAAAATTTGATGGTCAGAAAAATAATAATTATAACGAGCTCAGGCGAGCTTCAACGCCTTTTGCGCTGGAAAGATATAGACTCAAAAAAGCAATTTAGCAATCCTTCCTCTACCTTCACTGAAAATCCCAAGTCAATATCTTCATTCGTTTTTTAGTGATTGCCGGGACAAGCTGACCCTCTTAAAATCAGTAAATCGTCCATATCTCACGACCAGAAGTGACGACGTACTTATAAAAATTTTCCAATAAGGTTCAGACCAATATCTATCAGATCTGAAAGTTTCGTGAAAATCGACCGAGCCGTTTCCGAGAACTGGCGTGCACAAAAATCGGTAAGAAAAAAAAAATAATAATAATAATAGGGAAAAAGAAACCGAACGAAAACAATAAAGTCTTCCGTTGGAAACGGAAGACCTTAATTAGTATGAAAAACATCAGTCAGCATTTGACTCAATGATAAATCGTATTTGCTGACAATGTCATTGTATCGAGCAAAGAATTTACGAAATGATGACTTTAAACGAGACTGCTGATATTCTTGTTTCATCAACTTGTTTGTCAATAATTTACCTCGTTTTAGAAATTGTTCATACGTAGAGCATGCTCTTGCGTATCGAATCAACTGAGATATATAAACGCCGTGTATATATATATATATATATATATATATATATATATATATATATATATATATATATATATATATATATATATATATATATATATATATATATATATATATATATATATATACACAGGTGATGATGGTATATTGCGGCATAAGTTGGCGATTGAAAAGTTAGAGTCATCACGTTTATCATAGAGTTGGTTTTTTTAGATTACCATTAACGTCTTTTCAAGTAAAATATCAAAGTATGAAACAGATGTGTCAGACTCTTTGGTATCTTTTATCTCAAGCTCACCAGGATATATCGTTTCGACATAGGAATGGAAATTACCATTGTTAATTGACAATACGTCGTCGATATATCTATAAATGTTGAGTAGAAGGCCACAGCAAGTGTTTTCTTCTTTTCATGCATAAGATTTTGCACAAATTCTGCTTAATATGAATACGAAAATAGGTCTGCTAATAACTAAGAGCAATTGGTAACCATGCAAATTTCAATAGACTGTTGGAAGACCTGGTCTCCAAAAACCACATAGATATTGTCAATCAAAAACTGAAGCATCTTTTTGATGTCATCTTCAGATTACTTGTGTGTGCAATCAGAATTTTTTTCACAAAATAATTTTGCAAATGACCAAGTAAGTAAATTTACGAGTTCCATTTTTATTGAAAAAGCAGCTGTCAATGGTATAAAAAAAGCCCGGACTTTAATTTGTCGTGGGGAATGGTTGTGTATAAAGTTGAAAAGTCGTACTAAGTTTTTAAGCTGTTGAATTTGGTAAAATCTTGTGATTTCAAATGGTCCAAAAGTTCTTTGGAATTTTTGAGTATCCATATCTGATTTACACCGCTGCTTGAATATATTGTTGCATAGTACTCTTGAAGTTTTTCCTTCACTTCACTACTGTCAATATCTTAGTGAAGAGTAAAGAAAGAGGCTTGATTGAACATTTACTGGAACCTGCAATGTATCTTTGTTTGTAAGGATTCTTATGAAGGTTCGGAATCCAAAATATATACGGTAGGTCAAAATTATTTTGATTCCTCTGGATATTAAAAATATTCAAAACTGACATACGAGGGCTGTTCAATAAATAATGTCCTCGGTGCTCGGAAAGAAGCAAAAGACGCTTTTCAATGATTTAGTCTTAATGGTTTAACTTTATATTCTCTTTTAATTAAAACACATGAACGTAAATTTTTTTAATCCAATTTCTGATTTTAGAACTCATTTTGGTATAAGTATACTGGAAAATGGCAGATTTTATAATTTCCTAGACTCCTTTCTTCCTTCTGAAAGGCGTTTTTTTTTCAATTTTGGAAAATGAAACAAGTCAAAAATCGAAAAATCTGGCGAATATTGTTAATGTGAAAAAAATAACTTTCTTTTTATCCCAAAAACTCCTAAACTCTTCAGGGCGTGCGAGTTTGGATGCTGTCATTAAGAAGTTTAATGTAGTGGGTTCCTGATTCTGGGTCCTCATTAACCTTTCGATTTTTTTTTGCAAAAGATTTGCTTTTTAGACCCTTCCAGAAATTAAACTGCCTTCCTGAATACGAATTTGTACAACAAGACCACTAATATTTAAGAAAATTGCATATAACTCTGTCTTTGTGCTCTTGCAATTCTTTGCTCTTCTTAGACCTATCCTGTTTTTGTCAAGTACATCTTATTGTAAATTCTATTTTAAAGTTTCATTATCTGCTTGAATTTCAAACAAACGCGGATAACTACAATTAAAACATTTTCAATTTCAAAACATATGGTGCCCTTTGAGTACTAAGCTTTTTAACTGTCAAACGTTTCTTTAAAACAGTGTAAACTACTCCCGAAGTGATGTCTATCAAATCTGCTATGTGTTTTAAAGTCAATCTTACAACTTCAGTGATTATTTGTTGAAATTTGGCAAACGGTACATTAGTTGTTATAATTTTTGTTGACAAGGACGGTACCATTTTTGATGCCCATTATATAATTTTTTTTTATCATTGAAATACCTGCTTATTTGTCAATAAAACATACATTGGTTGCCGTAAATTTTACATATTTCAGTGAATATTTTTTTGATTCCTAACGAGTTTTACAGAACTTTTTATGAAGTGTTTAATTTCACTCTTGTTTACTGATTCTTTACCATTCATTTCTAAGGCAGTGTCTCGAATAGGCCTTGTTTTCTAGCTTCTCACAATGAAACTATGTGATGAAAAGTGGTCACATAAATTGTTATAAATTCATTAAAGATTCAATAATGCGAAAAAGTCAAGCTTAATGTCATATGATATCTGTATTGTATGTCATACAGTTCAGGACATTATTTATTGAACAGCCCTCGTATGATTTTGAAGAATGTCTTTCTTAGAAAGGGAACTATGAGTATAAGTTGGATTACCACTTGTAGCATTAAATCCAAGTTCTTCTAAATACAATTTATATAATGAGCCTTACAAACGAAGACATTGTTGTTAACCGTTTTGTCGGCAGGGACCAGTATGTACTGATCATGTAATTTATCTAATTCTTTTTTCATTTCTAGATTATTGAATACAGATGGATAGATGGTTTTCATATTGCCCCTCACTCTGTTGATACGTGATTTTAGCATGTACCAGATACATTTAATCCATTCTGACTAAGTGTCAACGTCTTCTTTTTCATATCTGGCCTATCGTCTGGCGTAATCTTCAACAGAATCCATAATATTTATGAAATTCAGACGCCAGTTGAAGGATTGGGGCTCCCTATATTTAGGACCTAAAATAAGTGATCTAAGGTCTTCATTATTTCCTATTTTACGTCAACTGTAATAAGGTGTCCAGCAGAACTATAGTAATAGGGTGAAGAAGAGCATGAACACGATGGAGGATTATGTTTCAGATACTTGATATCCAGGCCATGTAAAGTTTTTTTTTTGCAATTGAAACAATACAAAACAAAAAACAGAATTTGAATGTTAATTTTAAATGAGTTTGTTGAAATTCCTGTAACATGAAGTTATATGTCAGTTGCCTTTCTTGGTTTAAAAATCATATTTATAGTATACTGTTGAGAAACAAATAAGTCTGGAAATGTTAACACCTAGCGCAGTCGATTTGTGGGTTATTCTAATCTGCATTAAGTTAAATCATATGTTATTGTAGATTATTATGTTAGGTTTGCCCTTGATTCGTTTTCGTCAATAAATATCTTCATTATTTTTTTAGTCCATGCATGTGACAGCTATTTAGTAAAGAATGTAACAGACGATAAACTTACAGCATCAAGTATCTACAGCTACAAGTACCCCGCCCTAAAAGCCCGATTGTCTAATGCACAAGGATGGAGTCCGCAGGTATCACAGGCCAATCCTTGGATACAGGTACATGTTTTTTTCGGACATATTAAATGAAAATTCTATGTGAAAGTTTTGATTACTTTAATTCTGCATTAATGTTCAGTCTGAATAAATGTAAAAAGTGAAGATACCGAAAAAGGCAAACAAAAAAAAAATCTGGAAACAATATCTCCGGTCGACTGGTCGCATCTGCAAAGAGACCCCTGTATTGAATGGAAAAATTATCCTTGATCGATTCTTAGAGAAGTATATGAAAGGTGAACAAGGGATTTGTACTCCCTGATCTCACCAATTTCCAGGGGTCCTTGGTTTTATGCCCTCTAAACATACTTGTATTGTTTATTGATTTCTTCGATTTCACTATTCATTATAACACCTTTTACATTGATATTGCTTACAATTCAAAATGCTGAGAGAATAATATCAATAAATGTTTGTTTCACAGGTAGATTTCGGAAGAGAAATGTCGATAAGAGCTGTGCTGACAAAAGGAATGGGTGGGTTAATGGAATGGGTGAAGAAATACCAAGTCAAATACAGCAACACGGCCTCTACCTGGACAGTAGTGCAATATGGCTCTTCTAATGTACGTCAAAAATACCATTTATATATTTTAATGTCCACTCTGGGTCAAATAAAATTCTCGTCATCTTTTCATAAACTTATGCCAAGAAAAGTTCATTTTGTCTTTTAAGTCTGTTCCATATTTAGTGTCATTTGCAGAGACGAGTGATAGTTATGTATCAATTTACACGGTGTTTGTCTGTCTGTCCGTGTGTTACTCCTCATGTCTTGAGAATTCCATAATATACTAGTATTGTTTGGCACTACGGCGTTTATAAAATACCCTTATTATTAAGTTTGTTACTAAAACTTGATTTGACGTATTTTTCTATCATTGTTCATAATGCAGATAATCAGCATATTTGGGTCATATCAGAGATTTTGACATAACTCTCAAAAATACCCCAGAAGGTTACTTTAAGTGAATGAAGGATATGGAGATAACGAACAATATTCAATATCAAAGTCCATAAAACAATACAAGACAGGAGCAGAGCCAACACGGACCTCTAAAAAATCAGAGATGGGATCAGGTGCCATGGAGGAGTGAGCATCCCCTGCCAACCGGACATACCCGCCGTGTGTTCCTTGTCATGATCCGGAAATAACGGGAAAATACGTCTTCAATTCAGTGTATAAATAATTGACTAACAATTAGTACGTAAAACGTCAGTCAGCGTGCTCGGTAACAAAAATCCTACTTGTGGCACAGTGGTAGAGCGTCTGCTCCATAGTCGTGGAGTAAGGAGCTGATATTTTCATTGTGAGTTCGACGCCCACTGTAAGACATGGAGACCGGTCCTTCGGATAAGACCGTATACATCGAGGTCCAGTGTCGCAAAAAATGCTGGCACGAAAAAGATACCTTAGTGCATGTCACTGAGTGATGAGTATAGTTTTTAAAAAATGCAGCTATCCAACGGCAAGGGTTGGCGTCTTCATATAAGTAAAAAAAATCTCGAGAGGGACGTTAAACAACAAACAAACAAACAAACAAATTCGCATTAGAAAGTTACATCATATCACACGAAAGAACGACTTTTATGTCAAGAAGAGTCAAGTGTAATAATGCTTTCGAATAACTAGTGAGACTTTGATGGATGGATTGATAAATTGCATGTTTTTACATCTCATTCGAGAATTTTTCACTCATAGAAAGACGTCATCATGCACCGGTGATGGGCTTCAAAGTTTAAACTCTACTCGGCACTCATGGTTATTGAGAATGGTGACAACGCCTGTCGTGATACGAAGCCTTGGCTTTAAATTCTTTTTCAAATTTTCCAACCACAATTCTCCGATCACGGATCAAGTTGTATACCGACTGAGATACCGGGGTTGTACGAAACGTTGATGAGTAAATCTAGTTGTCCTGCTTATATTAATCAAAATAATCTATATAACAAATTCCAACATTCCTAGAACACATTATCCCGACGTCACATTGACAAGATCATGTAGTGACAAACGGACCATGTAGCTTCGTAAAACAGTAGGAGCTAATGGATGGATAGCGGCTTGCATTGTCCCAGACCTGGAAAACCTAAACAAGGATTAGAATAAATCAGTTGATGTTAATAAACATCAAGTAAAAGTATTCTACAAAGCTTAATTAACAAATGAAATATTGGATAAAGGCATAAAATGAAGATCAAACAGCATAGTAAAGCATGTTCAAGAGGAAATGAAGGAGAAAAAACAGCCCTTATAAAATACATTCCACATCAAAAGGAATAATACTATATACAGACATCTCTATCTTATTCCGAAGAAGTAAAATACATCAGATATTTGAAATAAATATCGAATAGAGATATTCTATCCAGTATGACGAAGTGTACTAAATTAAATATTTGATAATAACATCAAATAAAAGTCTGGCAGCATGCCAAATCACGGTCAAGAAAAATACATAGAGACAATGAACAGTATTCAAGTTCAGAAGTCCAAGACCTTCAAAACATCAAAGCCAGGTGGGATCAGGTGTCATAGAAGAGTGAGCATTCCCTGCTGACCGGTCACACCTGCATTGTGCTCCTTGTCTTGATCGGAAAATAACGGAGATGACCTCGACAATTCAATGTGTAAACAATAGCCTAACAATTTGTATTAAAAACGCCAGTCAGCATTTGACTTAATGATAAAAACACATGTAGTATTTGCTGACAAAGTCATTGTATCAACCATAGAACAACATAAATATTGTCAATCAGAAACTCGAGCAAATAGTCTGCTAATGTCGGGGCGAATACTAGTATGTCTGGTCTTACAAAACTACGTAGTCTAGATACTGTCAATCAGAAACTCGAGCATCTATTTAATATAATAATAATAATAATGTACACTCAGAATGTTTTTAACGAAATAATTTTGCAAATGACCAATGGCAAAGTAAATTTACGAGTTTCATTTTTTTTGGGGAAAAAACAGCTCTCAATGATATTTAAAAAAGTGCGGACTTTCATTTATCATTGGGAATGGTTGTATATAAAGTTGAAAAGTCGTATGTTTTGATGCTATTGTGATTTCAGTTTTTTTTTAAAGTATCTTGGAATTTTAAAGTATTCACATCTGATAATAAGATTTAAAAAAAACAATTCTTGAATATTTGTAAATATGATATTTGGGAAATTATTTTGACTTACTATTTTTACTAGAGATTTCAATTGAGCTAAAAAGGTTTATAAGTATAAGTTCGTCATATTATAAAAATCAATATAAAAGAGGGAACAACAAACAAGTACGAATAAATAATTGAAAACAAGAATTCAGAAAAAAAATAATGATTTTTAGCAGCACCGTTCTGAGTATTGATTAGGAAAAAGTTTTATTCGAACATACGGTTCCCCTAAAATTGGATATCAAAGACATTTGAATAAATTATTGATTATAAAAACAACGAAATGAATTATTTATTGAAATTTTATGTTGTTTAACGTCTCTCTTCAGAATTTTTCACTCATATGAAGACGCGAATAAAACTTTTGATTGCGTTTGAATTTTTTTTTGGGGGGGGGGGGGAGGAGGTGTGTTTTGCTTTGTTTTTGTTTTTTACAAAAATAAAATGTGACTTTTAATACAACGTAATTGACAAATAACTCTGCAGTAAGATGAAAAGTATTTCTTTCAAAATTGCCTCAAATCTCCAACATTTTTCTATTGTCTTTCTTTTTTGTTAATTATGTAAGTTCCATTTTCCAGAATGTATTAAAAATCCATCCTTATAAAATTGTTTGTTTGCCCTCTCCCGACCGACAGATTAAAATGGCACGACTAAAAACCTTCTTCAGGATGCGATATTTTTTTTTATTTCTAGTATACCGTAATCAAAAATGTTAAATTTTTCTGGAAAAATATTTTCCCACATACCTATTGCCCCAATATTTATTACTCTGAATAGGGCAAGGGCAGAGAAGCATTATTCTAAATATATAAGGATAAACAATGCATGAGCTTCAGGGGGTGTGACCGGTCGACATGGGATGCTTAATCATCCTTTGCAGTTGATCCCAACTCTGAAATTTCCAGAGGTTGTTTTTATTTTTTTTTCATTTTTTTTTTATGTTTTATTTTTTATTTTTTTTTTTTTTTTTGCTTTTTTTTGTAATGAATACAGTATTCAGGGTGAAAGCATTGACCCAGAAGAAACTTTGGAAAATCTTTTTTTCCAATCAATTTTAACATGTTTGTTCATATGTTTGTTGACGGGGTAAGAGAAAAAAATCGCATTCTGGAATGTAAAAAAAGTTTTGAGTAGGGTCATTTTCTAGGTCGGACGAGAGCAAACATACAATTCTTTAAGGATGACATATTTGATACATTTGGGAAAACGGAACTGGAATATTTATATAAAAATATATATATCAATAAATGCAAAAGGCGGTATTTTAAGGAAAAACAATAGAAAAATGACGTATATCTGATGCAAGTTTGAGAAAAATCATTTTCATGAGGATTTTTTCAAACAATTTGAAAGACACATTTTATTTATGAAAACAAGAGACCCAGGGGCCACATCGCTCACCTGAGCAAATCGGCTAGGAAAAAGCACAACTCAGAAAGGGGGGTGTTGAATTTAATACTACTTGGGAATGCTTTCATATTAATATAGCATATGACTTTGCTGTTCTTGATAAAAAGATATTTCAAAAACATTTTCTTCCTATATATAACTTCATAAAAATTTGAATTTGATTCCCCATTGTTTCCCTCCCTACCCAAAAGGGCCATGATTTAAATAAATTTAAATCAGGATTTGAACAAACTTAATTCTACACTACCCGTAAATGCTTCCATATAAATACTAGTATCACTAATCATGGCTTTGCTATTCTAGAGAAGAAGATTTTTTAAAATATATATTTAATGTAAATCTTGGATCCCCCATTGTGACCCCACCCTACCCCTGGGGGTCATAATTTGAACAAACTAGAATCAACACTACTTGAGAACGATTCCATCAAAATATCAATGATCATGGCTTTGAAGTATTTGCGAAGACGATCTTTAAAGATTTCCCTTTCAAGTCCTATGTAAAACTTTGCTCAGCCATTGTGGCCCCATCCTACCCCCGGGGGTCATGATTTGAACAAACTTGAATCTACTTTATCTAAGGATGCTTCCACATAAGTTTTATCTTTCCTGGCCCAGTGGTTCTTGAGAAGAAGATTTTTAAAGATTTTCCCTATATACTCCTATGTTAAACTTTGGTCAGCCATTGTGGCCCCATCCTATCCCCGGGGGTCATGATTTGAACAAACTTGAATCTACACAACTTGAGGATGCTTCCACATCAGAGTTTCATCTTTCCTGGCCCAGTGGTACTTCAGAAGAAGATTTTTAAAGATTTTCCCCATATACTCCTATGTAAAAATTTGGTCGGCCATTGTGACCCCACCCTACCCCCGGGGGTCATGATTTGAACAAACTTGAATCTACTTTATCTAAGGATGCTTCCACATAAGTTTTATCTTTCCTGGCCTAGTGGTTCTTGAGAAGAAGATTTTTAAAGATTTTCCCTATATACTCCTATGTTAAACTTTGGTCAGCCATTGTGGCCCCATCCTATCCCCGGGGGTCATGATTTGAACAAACTTGAATCTACACAACTTGAGGATGCTTCCACATCAGAGTTTCATCTTTCCTGGCCCAGTGGTACTTCAGAAGAAGATTTTTAAAGATTTTCCCCATATACTCCTATGTAAAAATTTGGTCGGCCATTGTGACCCCACCCTACCCCCCGGGGTCATGATTTGAACAAACTCGAATCTACACCACCTGAGGATACTTCCACATGAGTTTCATCTTTCCTGGCCCAGTGATTCTTGAGAAGAAGATTAGTAAATATTTTCCCTTTATATTCCTATGTAAAATTTTGGTCAGCTAATGTGGCCCCACCCTACCCCCGGGGGTCATGATTTGAATAAACTTGAATCTACACTATCTGAGGATGCTTCCACATGAGTTTCATCTTTCCTGGCCCAGTGGTTCTTGAGAAGAAGAATTTTAAAGATCTTCCCTATATACTCCTATGTAAAACTTTGGTCAGCAATTATGGCCCCACCCTACCCCCGGGGGTCATGATTTGAACAAACTTGAATCTACACTACCTGAGAATGCTTTCATACGAGTTTTATCTTTCTTGGCCCAGTGGTTCTTGAGAAGAAGATTTTTTTAAAATGCCATTAATTTTTCACTAATTCATCATTATCTCCCCTTGGAAGAGGGTGTGGCCCTTCATTTGAACAAACTTGAATTCCCTTTACCTAAGGATACTTTGTGGCAAGTTTGGTTGAAATTGGCCCAGTGGTTCTTGAGAAGAAGATGAAAATGTGAAAAGTTTACGACGCCGACACCGACGACGCCAACGACGACAGACGACGGACAAATTTTGATCAGAAAAGCTCACTTGAGCCTTCGGCTCAGGTGAGCTAAAAACGCAAACACAGGATTTATTCATTTTTGTTATACATAGTTTTAGTCTTCTTGGAAAAAAATCAATTGGAACTAAAATTGAAATGGATGTAGTCGATGATAATAAACATGTATCAAAACATTAGGAAACATTTAAAACACATTTAAATTTTCTTAATATAAATTATTCATCTTGTCGCTTTATACCCCGGTGATCAATAATTTATTCAAATGTCTTTGATGTCCATTTCTTGGGGGATCGTATGTTTAAATAAAACTTTTTCCGCAATAATACACGGAACCGTGCAGCTAAAAATCGTTTTTTAAATTTGTTTTTCAATGATTATTTTGCACTATTCATTGTTCTCATCATTTACATGTATATTGATTCTTATATTAAAATGTACCTATATTTATTTAACCTTTTTGCTCAACTGATTGAAAGCTCAAGGGAGGTTTCTGATCACATCTAGATCTTAATCGCTGTTCTTCGGTTAATTCCGTCCATCTGTCAAAAATAAGTAATTAAAATTCAAGTGTAACCTTAAAAACACATTTCTTCAAGGACAATTGAGCCAGATAAGGTATTTTATGTAAAAGCTGAAGTTAATGTACACAGTGTAAATTCAAGTTTGTTCTAATCATTATCCGAATCCGAGAGTAGAGTAGGAACAAAGGGTAATCTTACTTAATGAAAGTACTCTGAAGTTGGTATTAAGTTAGGACAAAACACCCGTGGATTCTATTTTAACCCATTTCTTAAAAAGTACTGGAGAAAAAAGAATAATATTACTATATTGACAACAATAAATGATCCCTGGAAGAAAAATAATAAGTTTTGGCATATTTGCGTCACATTTTGTGAAAAAATCAGGGAATCCTATATTTGGTCACTTGAGAGCTTACATTTTGAAATATGTTTACGCTATCTAAGTGCAATAAACAAGCATATAACACTCTGTTATAAAATGCAGTGTAACTTTTGTTCCATATATAGAAGAGGGCTGATATTTGGACACACATATAAGGAGTCTCCATTTTTTATGTACTACAAAGGTAAAGGTCATGTCAAGAGGTCAAAGGTCAAATATTGTGACGTCATATACTGAATCTTTTAGTTTTTTTTTTGCTTTTGAAAATTTTTTGATCGCCAAAGTATCTGAAACCACAGGTTCAATTTTCTTTATTTTTACATATTTTATTCTAGGACCCATTTGAATCATTCTGTTGATTTTTTGTAAAAATTGAATCACACATTTTCATATTACATGTGAATTCCGACGCTACGTATGCTCGATTTTTACTTATTATTTTACTCAAATTTTCCAGTATCAATATGACTTACTGATTTAAAGTAACAAAAAGGTTATCTTTACTAAAATAATTACACAAATTTGCAATAGATCAATTGATAATTCTAAAATAAGGCCCATTCTTAAGTAGAATGTCTGATTTCACAATCTTCTTACAGGGGTCTGATAGGCTATAATTCAGACTATGTGGGCAAAAAATATGTGGTTGAATTTCTTTACTATCATATATAAAGAAAGATTTTGTATCCTAGAACAAAATATCAAAGTTTCAGAAAAATTGAATTTGAGGAAAATTTTGGCCTATCTATTGTGTCCTACCTTAAAAGATGCTTTAGTTTTTGATTGACAATATCTATGTACTTATTGAATATTATGTCTTCCAACATTTATTGGAATTCATATGGATACTAATTGCGCCCCGATATTAGCGGACCTATTTTTGTATTCATATGAAGCAGAATTTGTTCAAAATCTTATACGTGAAAAGAGGTAAACACTTGCTGTTGCCTTTAACTCGATATAAAGATAAATCGACGACGAAATTTTAATTAACAAATAGTTATATCCATTTTTCTGTCGATATGATATATCCCGATGAGCTTGAAATAAAACATACCACAGAATCTGACACACATGTTTCATATTTGGATATTAACTTTAAAAATTTACTTAAAAAATACGTGAATGGTAATTTGACAACCAAGCTCTATGATAACTTGATGACTTTAACTTTTCAATCGTCAACTTCCCTTACTTATGCAGCAATATACCTTCATCATCTGCATACGGAGTTTGCATCCCTCAGTTGATTCGATACACAAGATCATGCTCTACGTATGAATAGTATCTTAAAGGAGTTTAAGTCCTGACAAACAAGTTGATCAAACAAGAATGCAAGTACAGTAGTTTAAAGTCATCATTTCCTAAGTTCTATGGTCGATACAATGTCCTTGTCACTTAATACATTCATCATTGAGTCAAATGCAGACTGACGCTTTTAATAATAATTTTAATACTAATTCCATAATAATAATTTTAATACTAATTCTTTGCTCTGTATTTTTATTGGACTTTTGATCTTGAATACTGTTCGTTATCTCCATATGTTTAATAAAACAAAGGGACAATCTGACGCAGTGTATCAGATTTGCATTTTTTAAAAACCCATACAGAGTCTTAACCGAATACTTCTAACGCCTACCCACCGAATTTCGTTGAATCAATGTGGCATTACAATAAAATTCAAACTTATACGTATTTACAATAAACTAAAACAACGGATCACTTCTTGACAAGCTATTTGAATAAAATAATTAATTTTTTTCAATTTCCTTTAACTCGTAACAGCTGTTTAAACAAAGGTATGTATTGATTTTTTTTATGATACTTGATTGAATCCAATATTTCACCTTTGAAAACTAATTAGTGATCTGTAAAAATAAAAGTTAAAATTTTAATGTCATACTGTCATGATATACCAGTAAACATTACAAAACGTTTGCTTTTTCCATTCAAAAACAAGTGTTCAAGGTCTTTTAAAAGCTACTCTTAAAATGTATAGCAATCTTACTTTAAAACTACGTTCTCATAAGTTAGAAGATGCCCAATAGAATCAACCTACTCTTCATTCACTATTGCAACCTGTTCTTCATAAGATGAATTTTTCCCATTTATTTTAATGCTAAGTTTTAATCATTTAACCTGTCCCTTTTCTACCCATATGGAACATGCTTTTTCAACGTCTAATTTCAACTACCGGAGGATGTTTCCATATCAATATCACTATCAATATGTATTGGGTGTTCTTGAAATGAAATCTATGGAGATTACGAACAGTATTCAAGCTCAAATGTCCATTAAACAATACAAAATTGGAGCAGAACAAGCACGGGCATCCAAAATATCATAGGTGGGAGCAGGTGCCATGGAGTAGTGTGCATCCCCTGCCGACCGGTCACAACCGCCGTGTGCTCCTGTGGACCTTGTCATGACCGAGAAATAACGGAAAAATCCATCGTCAATTCAGTGCAAAAATAATAGAGTAACGATAAGTATGAAAAACGTCAGCCAGCGTATGACTCAATGATAAATTGTATTTGCTGACAAGGTCATTGTATCGACCGTAGAACTTACCAAATGATGACTTTAAACGAGACTGCTGATATTCTTGTTTAATCAATTTGATTGTCAATAATATACCTTGTTTTAGAAATTGTTCAAACGTACAGCATACACTTGCGCATCGAATCAATTGAGCTATACAAACTCCGTATGCAGTTGATGAAGGTGCTGCAAAAGTATGGGAAGATGACAATAGAAAAGTTAAAGTCATCACGTTTATCATAGAGCTCGTTAAGTTGTCAAAAATATCCCTGTTATCATACAAAGATTTCATAAAGTTCCTAGACGATTTTAAGTCATTTTTGTTATTTCAAATATTTATTTAATAACTCTGAGAGAGAGAGAGAGGTAATTTTCCTATTATGAATGGGGATTTCCATTCATTATTATCTAATAAAAATAATGAATTGATAGACATTGTTTTTAGGAATTCCACGCAAATAGTGACTCTACAAGTTTAGTGAGGAATGACCTTCCATTTGAAGTAAATGCTCGCTATCTACGACTCTATCCCACGGACTGTCATGATTACTGCAGTCTTCGCTTTGATGTCCTTGGCTGTGAAGGTGATTATAAATTATTAACTCAAATTATCACAATTGCTTACTAAATTGAGATAGAATGGAGAGGGTTTTTTGTTTTTTGTTTTTAATGGATTTTCAGTTATTATAATAACGGTATTATCTGATCAATTATTCTTATCACAAGAAGTCATGTCTTTGAATTCAGTGACGTCATTGTCCACAGCGGTGATGTCAACAACCACAATGAGAACAACAGCAGGCGTGAAGACAGCAACTGAAATATCCACAACTACATCGACCGATACGAGGTCAACCACCTGGACACAAGTTCCTACAACGACATCGGAACAAATGTCTACAATGACATCGACACAAAATTTAATGTCTACAACGACAGCTTCAAATACAATCGTGTCTCCTTGTCCATGTACATGTGTCAAAAAACATAACACCACATTAACGGAATCAGAACTCCTCGCCAGATTAGCTGTTATCGTGCAGAATTTAACAATTTCTAAGAAAACAACATCTATCTACAGAAGAAGTAAAATTTCTGCGCAAGATAACAGACCACAAGCATTGTATGTGGGATCTGTAGGGATAGCTATTTTGTTCATTGTGGCTAATTTAATTGTATTACCAGACCTGCTTAAATTATTTCATTATTTGTATGTTACACATCGTAATAAAATTTGATCTAAAGGAAACCCACAAAAGAAAGAACTTGACAAGTGTATTTCGTGTTGTTTTTATTTCTATATAACATTTCAAACCAATCTTTGCTTTTATAGGTGTACCAAAAATGATATCTGTTTATGAACAAATGATTATATGTTTTGTTTGGTTAAAATACATAATTATGTGAAAAGTAGGAAAACGTTTAAACTTACATTTTAGTGTCATTTTTTTGAAAGTTTAAGATAATTATGCCTACATGCAAAGTAATTATACTGACATGCAAGTTACCAATCCCTTTAGAAAATCTAATTTGTTACGCAATTATTTTAACATCTAATTCAAGGAAGATTCAACAGGCATATGTGTTGACATGTGTCTTGTTAACATACCAAATAAGTACCGGTATGTTAACATGCGAATTAATTATGAGAAGATGCGACATATGTGTATGTTGATGTGCAATTTATTATCTTGCATGCTAACATTATACATATATCACATGGGTTTGAGTCGATGCCGAAGGCATATATTGAAACAAAATTCTCTTGCTTACTAACAAAAATTATTTTGTCCTCTTCACTAGTTCAGCTACCATCGCTGGCATAGAGGGAAAGAGAAAGGGGAAAGAGTGACAGACAGACAGACGGATATTGATTCAACTCAACATCTTCAATGATCATTTTATGTTTCTACAAACGCCTTAACATTGATTTGACTAAGCTTAAGTAATTATAAATTTTAATTAAAATTCTTCCATTAAAATTATTTTACTGAATTTATACACCAAACAAATCATCTCCTCACTAACAAACAAAATCCCATTTGTATTCAAAGTGATTTATTTACCTATATCTGATGAAACCTTCCATACGTCGACTCTGTTTATATTTTATCTTGTATTCAAAGTTTGGGTATCACTTACTTTTACTCATTTCTTTATTATATTTAAAAGAATGTGTATAATTTTACTATCTTTATTGTCATGGAATTAAATTGATATGACAAACGGCTTTATTATGAATATCTGGAATTTTAACACGTCATTATGTTCTGTTTTCTGGGTGTTTCTAGGATTAATTGTACCAAAGAAAAGTAAGATAATTACATGAAGTCCACATTTAAATTCTATAAATCTGTTTGCATAAATGATAGTGCAATAGAGTATGTTCAATATCTAAAAATCATACTTATTATTCTTTTTTTATCATTTAATACCATGAACTCTCAAGTTACGTGTATTTGACTGAACTCGTATTCTGCTAGGCATACAATTCTATTTTCAATTCTCGTACGCAAGAGTTATTTTTATTTTTTAAAAATTGTTAAGAAATATAAATTTTAAAGATTGTGTTTAAATAAGGACTCGGATATCGAAGGTATTAAAAAAATAAAAAATGACAATCGTGGTATATTTCATTTATAAAACTTTTATTAAATTAAACTGCTTTATCATTAAGTTGTAGCGTCTCCATATGAGTGAAAAGTTCTCAAGAGGGACGTTAAACAACATACAATCAATCAGTTTAACTTTAATTTATCTATAATTTGACGTTAGCAAGTACAGTGTATAATCTATCATTGGGCCGTATTTTGACTGAGCTGTTTCATGCTAATCATAAGTCTTTTATTTTATACAGAATTTGAGTACAGGAAGTGCGCCCCGTCAACAGGGGCTGTGTTCTTCTCCTAGGCACCTGATCCCCACCTCTGGAATTTTCAGGGAGCCCTGTTTTATGCCCTCTTCACAAATTTATATCGTTTATAAAATATTTTAGATCGATCATTAGCTGTTCGTTATCATCATTATTATACAATTAATTACCCCTTTTGAGTTCAACATGGTGAAATAAGGATCAGAGACCTGGCCCACTCGATGACCTGCCCTGACCTCGGCCGGTACGCGGCCTCGGTCAGGTCAGGTCACCTCGTGGGCCAGGTTTCGGGTCCTTACTTCACCATGTTGAACTCAAAAGGGGTAATGAATTGTTGTATTATACCGATGTATATTGAAAAGTATGAATCTCTGACCGTTACCAATTCTTTCTTTGATCGGGATCGGGATTCGCTACTCTCCGTATAGTGAAGTTGTTTACATTGACGTCTGCAAGTCGTGTAAATTTTTGCATCATGATTTACTGATTAAAATTATATTTGGTGGATAGCGACATACATTATAACCAACGATTACTTTTCCTATACCCAGTCAAAATCTAACACAGAATTCAACTCTGTACAGAGCCGCTTCTACATTCCAGAACTGAATTGAAACGATATTTTAAAATGAGTAAACCGTTTAAGTTAACGATAAAATTTTGCCGTTTTCTGTATGGTTATGCAAAAGAGACCTTGCACAATTTTAAAAACATGTTGTTTTCTCGAATAATTATTATTTTATGCATTTAATTCAGTCAAAAGGGAATTTTTGATTAAGAGGTCATTATTTAGCGGTCATTAATAATAATGACCGGGTCTGTATATCCCACGTGCAATAATTCCTAGGTCATTATTGCTGTAAACAGTATCATTTGGAGTCATTGTTGTATTTTAAAGTTTTCTTACCAGCCAATCAAATTCGAGTATTATCAATAGAGGTATAATAATTTAACATATAAGCATAAAAGTTACAGAACGACTACTGAAGTGTAGAAAAAGCCAAATTTCCTACATTATCTAGAGAGCCCTACCCACCAGCTAGACCTCCTGACCCTTAAGTTTTGAATTCCATAATTCGGAAAAGTTACCCTTGCTCATCATACTATTTCTGAAATTTTATGAATCCCTGAATAAAGTTTACAAGAAGAGATGATTTTCAAAACCTCTTGACTTTTTTTTCCTCAACCAATTTACTTTTTATTAAATTTTGCTCAATAGTCACTCGCTTAGTCGCTCAAGATATTTAATACACATATTTTACTTTGTTTCAATTAAATTTTGATAATTTTGTTCCTGCTGTTGTAGTTAAAATCGTGTCACGTAATACAAATCTTGAAATTAAAAATCACAGAAATATGAAATGATTGAACTTTTTTTCTTCTAGGTATTTTATTGAACTTTGAGTTAATTATAACCAACTGTCGTACTATTTTTAATATAGCCTATGCATGCAACAATCATTTAGTAGAGACGGTGACGGACGACAAACTGACGGTTTCCAGTATCTTTGACAAGGATTACCTGCCCCAGTACGCCAGGCTCTCCCACACGTTTGGTTGGAGTCCAAACGAAAAGGAATCAAATCCATGGATACAGGTAGATTTTTTTCTGGAACATGAGGAGTATATACATTGGTACACCATAAACCATCTCTTTTTATTAGAGACAGGTATTTTACAAATTCATTATCAAAAATTTTATTTGTATTTCATAATTTTCCATTTGTTTTTCTACGTTTTGAAAAAAAAAAAAAAAAAAATATATATATATATATATATATATATATATATATATATATATATATATATATATATATATATATATATATATATATATATATATATATATATATATATATATATATATATATATTTTTTTTTGGGGGGGGGGGGAGGGGGGGTTAATTTATGATATACCTTTTGTAATTTAATGTTTTTGTCTTTATTCTTGAATTTTCCATTTGTATTGATAACTGTACACTACAACTAGAAATTTATGTTTAAAAAAACAACACGAACTAACAAACGGAAAATTATAGAATACAAGTAAAATCACAGGATATAAATATAAACTATAGAATACAAATGGAAAATATACATTACAAAATGAAAATTTATGGAATTTTAAATAAAATTACGAAGGCTGTTCATTTAATAATGTTCTCGGTGCTCGGAAAGAAACAAAAAACGCTTTTCAATGATTTAGTCTTAATGATTTCACTAAAATACATGTATTCTCTTTTAATTAAAACACATATCCGTAAAAAAATTATCCAACTTCTGATTGTTTTTAGAACTCATTTTTGGGTATGACCCTTTGTATACTGAAAAATGGCAGATCTTATGATTTCCTGGACTCGTTTCTTCCTCCTGAAAGCTGTTTTTTTTTTAAGTTTGGAAAATGAAACAAGTCAAAAGGCGAAAGATCTGGTGAATATTGTTAATGTGAAAAAAAATGATATACAATTATGGACTCTTTTTGTGTTGAATATGGTTTGTTATTCACCACAAAAATATCCACAGTGACCTCGCTCTTCGCCGAGGTCAATATGGATATATTTTTGGTGAATAACAAACCATATTCAACACCAAAAGAGTCCATAATTGTTTTATTATATAGTCGGGATTTGAATAGATAAGACATAGAAGGCTGTATGACGACACCATTTTCATTTGCGATCTTTCATTGTTGAAAATAAAAAAAATCCAGATTACTGTTTGTAACCTCCGTGTTTTCCTTTATAAGACGTCTAAGACGTCCAGATGTTAAAACATAATCCTGAAATAGGTTTGAATAATTGTTTTCCTGCTCAGATACGTAGCTTGCTGCGGCCGTTGCAACAACTGTTTACAACGTTGTTCGATGGTTTGATTGTGACGTCACAATGCCGTTGCACGCGCATTGACCCTCCGGTGAATACGGCCTAAAATCCGGTGAATATGTAGTGTTATGAACTGTTTGCGCTTGTATAGATTATATAGGGAATATAAATAGACTACAGTGGAGCCTCATTTATCCGGACGCTTTGGTTCCCAGTCAATTTGTCTGGATATGTGAAGCATCCGGATACCTGAATCACTATTTAAACAAGACATAAGAACATTTTAAAATTCTGTTCCGATGAAAAAGCGTCCGGATACTGAAGCATCCGGATATCTGGCGTCCGGATATCTGAAGGTCCACTGTATATAATAATTATGTTTATCCCCAAAACTCCTTGACTCTTCAGGGCGTGCGGGTTTGGACGTTGTCATGAAGAAATTAATGCAGTGGATTCCTGATTCTGGTTCCTTCATCTCATTAACCTTTCGATCTTTTTAAAAAAAATTGCTTTCTAGACTCTTCCAGAAATTAAAGTGCTTCCC